GGGTAATGGTGGTTTCGTTGTTGTTGTTGTTGTCAAGCAGGTCAAAACAAGAGGGGTAACGTAGGAAACGGCAGACAACATGCGCGTGAAGGCAATGATGGCTTCGTTTCTGCGGCCAAGCCAACCAGCCAAGCAAGCCAACTACCTAAGTGTAGGTGACACAAGATAGCGCAACACCTAGGACCGATTTTCAAAGTCCGATCACTCAACAGCAGGCAGAATGGCGGTGCCGACAACGGCGGCGTTCGAACCTCTCGCCTATAATTTGTCCGAAGAAGCATCTTTGGAATTCTGTGTCCTCCTCGTCGTGGAGTAAAGTACACACCCATCGGTCCACGGGCGTGTTATATCTGATCCAACCATGTAGAAACAGCGGTACCAATGCCTTATTACAGGCATGCGGATCGCCTCCCTGCTATAGGACCAACACGACAAGGGGACACGAAAGGCAGGTGTGGTACTCTTGAGCGACAAAAAACAACAAAAACAACAACACCAATGCACGAAAAACAACAACGATGTGTGTGTGTCTACCTGATCCAGCTCGGTCTCTGTTTTAGGACCTTCCGCTAAGCTTCGCACGACGCTTGCCAGCATCGCCGTCACGAACGCTTCTCCCTCGTCGACACATTCCTCCCATGTCCTGGCCACCGCCGTCTTGGCCTGCACCGCACCAGCACCCGCCCCTGCCGCCGCAGCCCCCTTTGACTCCCGCTCCTTAACCTGCGTTGATGTCTTCGTTGGGAAAGGAGCGACACAATCGATGCTGACGTGCCAAATATGCTGCAACAGGTTTCGTTTTGTTGTGTGGCAGTTTCAGAGTTCCATGTACAAATTTTGATGACATGACAAACTTTTGCTTGAACAGGTTATGGTGTGTTGTGTGATCGTTTGAGAGTGCGATGAACAAATATCCAACTGCAAATATCGAAAATCTGCCGCCGGCGCACACAAAAATAACGAAATAGAAGGACCCACACTCCCGTCTTCCTGAGTGTGACAAAACGCAAGATGCGAGCGGCATTGCGGTGACCACATCTCGTGCACCACAGCGGTAGGTACAAAAAACACAACCCCAGCAACAGGAACCTACCCCCTCTCCTTCAACCGCCGCCGCCCCTTCTCTACTGTCTCCACCGCCAACACGCACCCGTTCATGAATCATCGCCGCCGTAGCCGTCTCTGCTGCCGTAGCCGCTGCCGCCCTCAGACTCTCCGGCGTATCTCTTTTAGAACACGAGCCCCCCCCGCCGCCGCCGCTGCTGGGCCTAGCCCCCGCACGACCCCCCCGAGCGCCGCCATGAGAGGCGGTGGTGGGACTGCTGCCACTGGCACCACCGCCTGCGGCAGCCGCTGCCTCGGTTGCCTCATGCTGCCGTTCCTGTTGAAGCTGCTGCTGCTGGTGCCGTGCGCTTGCATTCAAGGGTGCCACGGCGTTGGCTGCCCCCACAGAGGAAGGGACTGCCACTGCTGTTACAGCTACCGCTCCTGCCGCCGGTGCCGCCGCCGGGACACCGCCCAAAACGGCAGCGGCGGCGGCAGCGGTGGCGGCGGAACTCGCCTGAAAATGCTGGGTCCCGTTTATTCTACGCGCTCCCGCCTGAGCAGCAGCGGTGCTCTTGCTGCTAGCGATGCCGCTACTGATGCTGCTGCTACTACCCGATCCGGAAGGTGGGTTCACGCGCCCGCCGTCGCCGGCAAAAGCTCCCGCGGCGGCACCACCAACGGTGCCATTTTCTGGTACCTTCCGTTTTCGGCTGCTGCTTCCAGCACCACCTTCGCTATTCCTGCCCCCGCCGCCCTGTCTACCGCCTCCACCCCCCGATTTTCGCTCGCCCGATCTGGTGGCGGAAGGATTGGGAGCCGCCGGTGCCGCTGACGCACCGGCAGCGACGGCGGCGGCAGTAGCCGCGTTGTTTTGTCTATCTTCTGGTGGCCGGGGGTCGCTTTTTTTTACTCCGCGCTGGCGGGAGTGGCGCTGAACATCCGTCAAGTGCTGCTGAAGGCGTGCGGTCTGTGTTAGACAGGAAACATGGTGATCATGGAGTTGGTATTGGTGGGGGCGGGGGGCGTGCCGGGACGAGGGAAATGAGTCGTCGTGCGAGCAGCATCAGCGGACGATTGGAGTTCGCCCCCATGTGAAGCGAAATCACTTTGCTCGCTCCCGTTCGATAAAAAAAGAACGAACCAACTCGCTCTCTACCCAGCCTGCCGCACGCACCAACCTGAACCACAAGCGGCCATGCGTCCCCACCCACATGCTGCCAAGAAACAAACCAAAACGTCGCCGCCCTTCAACTCTTACAAGGCATAACAAAATGTGCTGCTGCTGCTGCTGCTGCTGCTGCTCACCGGCACTCGACGACGGCGGCAGTCAACATCCCTCGTCAACGCCATCCCTCCGACCGCCGGTAACCGGTCCTCCGCTGCCATCATGGCAGTGTCGATCTTGGCAGAGAGAGTGTCCACCTGAGGATGGATGGAGTTTCATCACCAGGCAGCACACACCCGGTCCGCGCGGAATTCGAAATGTATGAGTGTAAGCTGTCTACACCGGGGGCGACTAAGTATGCCTGATGCTGGTAAATTACACCGTCCCCGGCAGAGTACGTGTGGCATGCGCAGCGAAAGAAGGCATACGGTGTTCGCTTGCTCCTTAGCAACATGGCCAGGGCTATAAAGGCACGACCAAAAACATCCAGGCGTGACGCAGAGGACACGTCGGCACAGTCGGAAACGATTGGGCCATGTTGCGCAAAAAGCCAGAGAGTGGTGCAACAAGAGCGGAACACACGCAGCAAACACGGGGAGCCAAGATTCGAGATTCGGCAGCAATGCCTTGTCAAACCACCTCAACGACGACGTACCCTAAAGACGGTACAATCGAGCGAACCCTGGCAAGCATTTCGATTCGAACGCCCGGTACAAGACGCACGAGCACTCAACGCCTCCACGCGCAGGGTTCGAGAACAGTTCAAAACGCCAGCGAACACCGACGACCGGTGTACCCGGCCTAACCGCCACCCCAATAAACTCCACCGTAAGGCGAGGTTCTCGATCGCGATCCACCAGCTATCGGATGGCCTCGTGCTGACCTCCGCCCTCCCCGACTGACCTGCTGTAGACGTGACTGGATGTCTCGGAGGGATTCACCCTGCCCCTCCGCCCCCGACCCATCAGCACCCGCGTCCGCCGCCCGTCGCAACCGGCTAGCTCCAGCTCTCGTCGCCGTTCCGCCCGCCGCCCCGGCTAACATACCCCCCCCGCCGCCGTTCGCCACGGGTGCCGCCGCCGCCGCCGCTGCCGCCGTGATTTCTGCCTCAGCCGGAGCGGTAGCTGGACGACGAGGTTTAGGGCGAACCTGGACCCGCAGCATCTGCGAACTACCGCTGCTGCCGTCGCCGGAGGGTTTCCCTGCGGCGTTCTTATCGATACAGCTGCTGCTTCCATTCGACACCGCCGCTGTTGGGAGGAGGGACATCGATGGCCCGTGGGAGGGAGACAGGCTGCTGCCGGGCCCCGGGGCGTGGGCGCGGGCTCGTGTCTTTGGGCGGGACGGGGCCGGTCGGGGCCGCTCCGCCGTCGCTGCCGCCGGTGCTGGGGGCGGTGCCCGCGTGGTCGCTTGCGGCTCGTCGTTGCTGGCTGGACGCGGTGGGGGGGGGGATGGTGATGATGATGATGGCGGCATCATCGCGGTAACCGTGCCCACCCCGTCGGCTTGTCTGCCTCCGCAGCCGCCGTTCCCCACGGCCTCACCGGCTGCTGCTGGTTGGCTGGTCGTAGGGGCGGCTGCCGCCGCTGCCGAGGCAGCGGCCGCCGCCGCCGCCGCCGCCGCTGCAGCCACCGCCGGTGTGGCAGGCCAGCTGACTACCCCCGGCGGTGCAGCAGCGTAGCTTTCGGCCATGCCATCTGCTGGTGGCCTGCTCGAGACTGCTGTGGGTGGTTGATGCCGCGGTAGCTGTTGCGTCTTCGCCAAGCTGATACCCGCTGTTCCGCCAGCGCCGTTACTGCTGTCTGCTCCCGCTCCTGCTGCTCCTGCTCCTGCTGCTGCTGCTGCTGCTACCGCTGGTGCTCCAGCCGGCGCCGTGCTCTCTCCGACCGCATTGTGCCTCGTCATACCAATCCTGTGCCCGCTCTATCCAGACCAACTGCTGCTGCCGTGAGCTATGTAGCGTCGGCGGCGGCTAGGCATGGGCCGGCTCCTGCTTGCCGATGCTGGTTCTTTTGAAACAAACACGGACGGTATGGTCCACAGCAGAAAGAAATTGAAGGAACAAGAGGATCGGCGATTTGTCGTACTGCAGGTGGATTGGAGAGAGACAAGTCATCCTCAGCAACACGCGCACACCAGAGAAGGCAGAAAGGCCAACATGTGTAACAGTAAGAACATGAGTAGGTTGGCCCCTGCTGCTGTCCCTTACGATGTCATGCCACGTGCTAAACACTTGCTTCCAATAAGCAAATCGAGAAGCGGGAGATAAAAGAGAGCCAAGAATAAAAAGCATGCACGTTGTCCGACGACCGATGCTCAATCCGAACTGGCTCAACGGACGCAGCCCGGCCAAATCACCCGCTCGCCTCGAGGAGCACGAGGCCTCTCCCGCGGTGAACCCGAGCCTAGATTGACGTGGTGCCGTCAGCTGTCTCGCGACCTGTGACGAGCCGCTCTCTCCTCGCGTCAATGGCAAAATGGCCAAAATCAAACGCTTTACTCCCTGCCCCTCTCTCCCTCTCTCTCTCCTTCCGGCCGCAAATCCACACGCCTGCCCAGCCGCCCACTCACCTTCCGTTGTGGTGCCTCCCTTTTCACGATCTCATTACTCTGCTGGCCTTGCCGTAGCGCGTGAGCCAGCCAACGATCACGGGCGGTGGCCGCACATTTGTCCATTCGTCGCAGAGAGCCCTTGTGTGCTCTCAAGAAAAAATAAACAGTCCTACCTGCGGGCCCCCTTCGGTGTGTTCGGTGCTGCTCGTTCAAAATAACATTTCTTTCCGTGCTGTTCAGTGCTGCTCTCCAATAAATGTTCTTACACGCTCGTGCACTTCCGGCTGATCGACATCACGGCTTGCGTGCGAGGGGTCGTGCAAATTTTTGGTGGGTTGTTGAATGCGGAGCTTTCTGCTTAGAACAAGGTGCCCTTGTTTTGTGGAACCTGCGGAGGACGACAGGAGTCAAATTGCTTGAAGATTTCATCAACCAAAGCCACAAACCCAGACTATACTAGTACGTAGTGTTGAAGGACTAAACTTACAAAAGTCACTCTGTACCGGCCGTTGATTACGTACGCATATACAGATAGCGCCCGCACTTAAAAAGCTCTAGTTTCGGCCGAGGCTGGGGTTCTCATTTTGCTGCTCATCCTCGTGTGGGCTACAAATGGCTGCTATATAGGTTTTAGCGTTGGGGTTTTAACCGAGCTCACATAAAAGTTCTTCGCTTAATTTATTGCGAGTCTCATTTTCTTCACTGCTAAGTTCTTAAGTGCGGGCGCTATCTGTATTGGTACCTGGTACGCTGGACCTGAAGAGACTAGTGGTCAGAAGCTTTCGGGGCGTGAAGAGAACAAAATAATCACGGAGCCAGCAGCTGTTTAGTGCATCCTTTGAAACTAGCTATTTGAAACACTCCGCAGGGGGCAGCTGAGAGCTCAGGTGTGTGTGGCCGGCGGAATTCATGGCAGGAGAGAATGTTCGCTCGACCCGAATATCAGTATGTCTCGCTCCCTCCTCTCGAGGAGTAGATACCGATGCGTGGAACTGTGTCAGAGGGCCAACTGTTACCAACAGCAAGGTATGAAGGGGGCGTGAAAGCGCTCATCGTTCAAGACGTGAGAGATGGATGACCCGGAAGCTCGGGGAGAAAATAATACGAGGTGTAACTGCATAAATATCACCAAAAACGTTTGGTTGTGTTGGATCAAACACCAAAACAACAACGTGTGGTAGGAAGATGGTAGATATTGGGGGGTGTAAAACGACTTGCCCAGGGGTTAGCCCAAGGCCGTCTACTGCATCTCGGATTCGCCGGCCGATTTGGATACGCCTGGCGGTGGTGGCAGTTCGGCGTCCTTCGCTTCGGGACAAGCGCAACAGCTTCGTCCACTCGCGACCGACCGTCTTGTCCAGCAGCAACGCACAGGTAGATAAGCAGCACGATGATAGACACCGCCGTACAGATGGCACCTTCTGACAGATTCGCTTCGTCCCTGATGGAAGACGCAAGACAAGCGGGGTCCGCTGCGAAAAGCTGATACTCCAATCAATAATTCGTAAAACGCCTACGAGAGTATTACGAGAGTGTTGTCAGCACCGCTCACGCTGAAACACCAGGTCGACGCCCTGCGGCGCACCAAACTTGAGGCGCGAGCCGATAGTCAAGCCAAGCTTCGCGCAAAATCCCGGCGATGAGACGAGCAGTCCTTTCGCAACACGGGTGGGTGTGATTGGTGGGTGCCATTTTTCATGTACCCCCGGGATTCTGGCGATGCAGAAGCGCCTCGTCGGAGCCCCCCAGACTGCCATCCGCGCCAAGCTCATCTCGTTGAGCTTACAAAACTAGAGGGGGCCGCTCCGCCACACCACTCCAAAACTTACTCCCCCTCGTGTAGGCCGGGAGGGGTAAGGGGAACGCTTGTTGCGTCCGGCCCAAAATAAGAAACAAGGTGTGAATTCCTGTTTCCCCTCACCAACGCACACGGAAAAAAATCTCGCACCGTCTTACTGGCTGCGCCAACATCAAAGAATGACCAAGACGTCGAAGAATGACCAAGACAAATCCTCAATTTCCTATCCCCCCCCCCAATTGGGCCTCCCTTTCCACTACTACCGCTACCCGCCTACCCAGACGCAGGAGCGAACCCTAGAACTAATGGTCTTCGTACTTCATCGTGCGCATGCGCTGTTGGTAGTACACCGAGTTCTTACGGTCCTCGTCGGTGAAACCGATCGAAGGCACCACGCCGCACAGGAACGCGGAGATCCTGGTCGTCGTCATTTCCGAGTGCCGAGATCCGAGAAAGAGAGAAGGGGGGAAGGGGGAGGCAAAAACGAAAGACATGGGTGGTCAGCGGTTGTCGATTCGGCGCAGGTAGCTCTCCACTCACACGTGATGCGCGCCCATCGTATCAACGCAAACAAGGGGAGAGGAAGGGAGTGCGGTAGGGACTAGGACGTGGGATGAACACATACATCAGGAAGTTTCCACGGTCAAATTTTTCGCGTTCGTGGAGGTCAAGGCAGGGCCATTCGACTCTCCTGGTCACATTTGTCACAACGATGCTTGCAGAAGTAAGAGGCAAGCAGGTTTGTGGAACACAACGCGATGAAAAACGAAGTAAGGATCAACAGAGTGACGCCATTGCCGAAGCCACCCGAAATCACAACGGGAAAATAAAGCTTTTCAAAGAAAAAAAGAATGTTGGGTGAGGTTATCGAGGGCATCTGACGTTGGACGGGTACACATAACCGGCAGCAGTTGGCTACCATAGCGATGCGGATCCCCCACGGCAAGCAGAATAGAGCTCGTCAATCGTGATGGTCTCTCTTGTGACAGCAAATAAACGCAAGTTCGTTCGGGCGTTTCTTGCTCTTGTCGTGTGAGATGGACAAAACTACCAGCCCGTGTATCCGGTTGCTGTATGTGAGGTAATGGGTGCTAGTCCTGCTTTTTGCCGCGGTACACGGGAAGCTTCCGGTGGGTCAGAGCGGCCAGGGTGCATTGTTTCTTCTCTCCGCTCTCCTTGGAGCACTTTGGTTCCTGCTGAGCATCTCCCAGTGTTTTAAACGATGAATTCCCCCACACCCGTACGGCTTCGGTTTATCGGCCGCAACTCTCCATGAACCAAGTGTCAAGGAATACTTCGGGGGTACTCATTTAAACGAATGCCGTGGTCGTACGACCATTGAGCTTGCATCCCTAAATGCCAGGACGGAGCGATACGCCGGTTTTACGCCATGGGTTGATTGGGCATCCCCGCAAACAAAACGTTTCACATTCGGGGGGGGGG